CAGGGGGAAGCCCACTTTCCTGCAGTTGCCATAGGGGCCCGGAGATGAGGCCGGGATGCGCGTTGGGGGTCCTAGTGTTCGGGGGATTGGGGCTCCCTGCTTAACGAACAGAGCACCTTGTGTCCCCTAGTACAGCGGTCATCGGGACCCCAAAGCCAACCACTCATTAACAGTTGAGTGGATGGGCGGGCTAAAGGCCTGAGGGTCGGGAACGCCGACCCCTAAGCCCTGCAGAAAGAAAGAAAGTCAGAGAGAGATACCTAGAGAGACCGGAGAGAAAAAAGGGCATTGTTACGTTTCCTGCGACTTGTCGTTGGGCACTTTGCTCTCCCTCTCAGGTAGGGTCGGTAAGACTACATTAGATCCGCAATGCTGCCGGTCATTCCCCTCCGATACCAGGTGCGACGACGTACAGACCCCTCCAAGTCAAAGCCACCATTGTCGACTCCTCCCTTCACCTGCAGGGAACAACGAGTAAGTACATTACACTGTCGCAGGCGGTGTGCTGCGTCAGCCGCGGCAACTGTCCGCCCACCAGGAGGTTCAGTCTTTCCATCGGGTGTCCAGCCTCCGGTGAACCCGAGACATGCAAGAATGCTATTGTCAAGCCTTTCGAAACCTGCTCAAGCTGGTGAAGCTGCGGTGTAAGCGGTCGGAGCTGACTCTTGGAAGGCTGTTGACGTCATTATGCATGTTCAGTTTCTAAAGTTTGAAGACGGCGAGATTCAAGCAACTAAATACGCTTCGCCTGGAAAACAGTCTTGCTACGACTTGCTACGTATCCGTACAAATCCAATCCCGTGTTGGAGGTCTTTTCTCCTCGTGAGCCTTAGAGCATGGCTCCAGTTCTCTGGTGTCGGAGATCCAATCTCGTCAGCCTCTTCCGGTTTTGTTTTTCCTCAAAGAGCCGGCCAAGTCTTCCAAGTGAGTCGCATTGGGAGTGTCCGTGGACCTGCTTTGGAATGTTGAAGGATTTCATGCCAGGAGCCCAAGACAGAGAGAGGCACTATGTCGTACGAACAATCACACAGTACGATTACGATGCCATGCGTTATAGTCTTATAGTTGTAGGAGGCACCACTCCTCAAGAAAGACGACTGGCGCTCCTTCTGTTTCAATTTCTGTGAATCCCCTCCCTGCCTCATCGACAGTGCCGGAAGAGTAAAGCAATCGGTCCATGCAACCTGCCGCATCCTCTTGAAGCTCCACCTGAGTTTCCTGAAGTAAATGCCATTGAACCCGAAACATCACTTCTTCCTGGAGGATCGGCTGCGGTTGCTGCGGCCACTCGTTCGGCAATCAGTCGTCAGGGTTCCCTGAAAGTGCATATTTCACGGGTCTACCATCTACTGTTTTGCAAGTTGCAACTGGAAAGGAACTTACTACTATTATTAATTGAAGATATTACTCTTAATACCCATATTCGTGTCATGATTATTATCTGCGCTTTCAGGAGACCCCCATGTGGCTCTGCAGCCGAGGATGCGCGATCTGCAAGATGGCCCCTGGAGCCCGGGGCGGCATCGGACCTCCTGTATCACCTGTATCGCCTGTATCTGTGAATGTATCTGTATCTGTATATCCTGGCCAGCAGCGCATGTAAATGACCAGTTCAAGCTGCTTGGGCTCTTCTGGTTGATTTGCTTTACCGACAAAGCCTCAGGTCTCAAAGAATAGCGGTGAACAAATCCGTTGGTCATAAAACGGAGGAGCTGAGTTGCGGAAATCCATTGTCATTGCTTCCGTTTTCGGGAGCACAGTGACTGTCACAGGGCGCTGTGCCACAAGGGCTTGCAGCACTTACCTGAGGCAACGGGTTCAAGTCCTGGAAGCTGTGAATAGGCTCTCAGGTGCGTAGACCGAAGGTGATTTAAGCCCGACTTCAAAAACTGCGACTGCTGCTCTATTGGCTTGCAGTGCAGACAGATACGGCTCATTGAAACTTAACAACATGTCTAGTCCAAGTCGTCCGAGTTGCACAGCATGCCCACCCAAGAACTGCAGCACCATCGGAGCCTGAACTGAGTCCATCCCTACCCATATGAAAAAAGCAGCAAGAAGGCTCCACCAACAGCCTGGTAGAATACTGTAGAAGTGGCTTGCGCTAATTATGGCGTCTCCTCGCCGACAACACGTGGGGCTTGCGCTGCTAGTTGTCGGGCATCCTGTCTGCAGGAGCTTCCATCAAGGAGCGCCAATGGGCAAGCACAGCATAACGCTCTCTCCCCGGTCCACAACATGCTTTGCCAAGCTTACCGAGGCTGGTGCGATGCTGCCGCACGGAAGCAAGTCAACGACTAGCAGCACCATCACATTCAACTGCGGGCCAAGGGGTCTTGGACCAGGATGCCACGCATGAGACCTCGCACCTCCCCGAAGCCCGCTTCTCTATGATGCCTCATCCATCGCGCAAAGCACCAAGTTGAGCCGACCTTCTCAGTGGCTCGGCCGGCGGTCGAGGAAGGCTTCGCCAGGGTTTGCCAGCAATCCACCAGTATAGAAGCCTGAATAGCTACTACTTGTAGTTACCAGCAGCATCCCCTTGTAGGCTCAAACCTTGCACATGTTAATATACGCCAAAACCTATTCGAACTAATTCAAGCCGCTTTAGTAATGCTTTCGCAGATTGCGGTAGATCATTCGGGAGGTTGCCGCAATGTATGTCTTTTTACAGGCAACGTGCAGGACACTGTTGGCCATGTTTTTGTCAGACTCCGTTCTGTGACAGCCTGGGTATGCACAGTTGCAGATGCCTGACAGGCCGGACTTCCGTGAAGCTCATGCTCAGCGCGGAGGTGCTCGTGGGGGAAGCCTGTGGAGAATCGGCATGTGGTTGCGGGTTTGTGTTTGTCAGTGTGTGTCTGTGTGTCTGTGCATGCTCTTCGTGTCATAGGAAGTCGAGGTGGGTCCTGCAGCATCCCAACACCGAAGCCCGCCAGGAGAAGCAGCAGTTGATCGATTTGGGCTACAGCGAGGACGAGGTGGGAATCAGTGGGACGGCTTTCCTATGACGATTCGAGTGTCGCGAGACGTCGGCATAGTTGAATCCTCCGTGAGTTCAACCTCCGAGTTGTGAGAGTCCAACGACCTTATGTTAAATCAGAGCTGCTGTCAGCTACGAACCAACAACCTGAACTGGCTGGAGAGTGAGATCCTGCAGCCCATGCTTGATGGCCATGTTTGACCCTGATGCGGGCCCTCAACCCTGCAGCCCTTGAAACCTAGTCGCGCCCGGCATCCAGATGCGGGGTGCAACAGAAAACATCTTAAACTATTCCTTAGCATTGAAGCGCTTCCTCTTCAAATCGCAGAGTGAGGCTGCAGAGATGCGTGTGGAACTCGCGCGAGGGCCCTGGCCGGCTGATATGCCACAGAGAGTGCATAATATTAAATGGCTATAGAAGCCATGCCTGCCTTGCGCGAGTGTGTGAGTCGAAATGGCTGTTAGATTAGAACCGCTGTATACAGCATGATTACAACTACAGTTGCATCAACCGTAGTCATAAATCATCGGAAAAGTAAGACTCGGAAGCTGCGAAAGCTAGTAACAACGATAGCAACTATCAGCTTGTGTATTGCTGGAGGGTTGTGATTCCACGTTGTCGTGGTCACGGGATGCTAGAGGGGTCAGGGAAATCACATCCGCAGCCCACCTAAACCTCGAATTCCAAACATGTAGCACCCAGACTAGTGTGGATCCTTGCCGGTTGTGAGAATGGAAAATCCCGGCGTTGGCTCAACAACCATAGCATCATGCAGCAAGTGTCTCCATGGCTCGCTGATTACTCTCATTCGTAGCGCTCTGACCAGATCAGACCAAGCACTTTAAGCCAGAATTCCTCTCCGACGCCGTTGATTCGATTGGCATGGAATAGGTCATGCGTGGCAAGCAGAGGGCGCAGAAAGCAAAGAGGCTGAAGCGAACCCCTGTGGATTGTGATGACTGCTGGGGCTGGCGATGCGCAGATGTGGCTGCCTCGGTCGACTGGGAGAAGCTTCAGCAGGGACTCGATGCTTTGATGTCCCCGCGACTTTGGGCCAACCAGCTTTCGCTCCGGAAAGTGGCAGGTGCCGTGCCGCTTCAACTTCGAGAGCTGCCTGGGAAGTCCTCGGCCACTGGCTCGGCCTGGAAGCAACTGGGTTCTTGTTAAGGGATTTAATTTAAGTTACCATAATAGGGATCTATAGGAAATAATATGGTTTCCTTATTATGGTAACTTAAATTAAATCCCTTAACAAGAACCGATGCAATCGATCTGGGAGGCTTCGAGCTTGCCCGCAGGGAAGTCTTCGGAGGCTTCTGCCTTCGCGGCGCCGCCATCCTTCCTTGTCTCGTCGTCTATTGCTATGCAAGCATCACCTGGCAAAGGGCGGGGATGGTATGCCACCGAACCTTTGGATGCTGGAGTCATGGTCCTCATCGAGCGGCCACTAGTAGCAGTGCTTGATGGAGAATGGCGCGACGAGAGCTGGGCAGACTGTGGCAGTTCCGACTCTGCAGCTTTGAGCATCGAGCTGGCACGATGCTACTCTTCAAGCTTGGCTTCACTCCTGTCCGGCTTTCACCCACAGGAGGCCGTGCAAGCAAACTGCGCCGATTCAGACGAAGAAGATGAGCCGGTTCTCAAAGACGCCATGAGAACGGCACTGAACACTGCCTGGAAGCCAGTGGATATCTCCGAAGGTGCCCGGGAACGCCTGGAGGACGTCGTCCGATTGAATTCTCTGGGTTTCTACACCAACTCCGAGCAGCTCTGCCACCACGAAAACTTCACAGCGCTCACAGGGAATGGGCTCTTCGCCCTGGCCAGCGGCTTCAACCATTCCTGTGAGCCCTCGCTGCAGCGCTGCTCCTTCGGAGATTTGACTGCTTTTGTGACGAATCAGCCGGTGGCAGCTGGGTCTGAGCTGTGTATCAGCTACATCGAGTCGGAATTGCTCTGTGCACCCAAGTCTTTGCGGAGTCAGTCGCTGAATCGTGACTTCGTTTGTGCTTGCACTCGATGCCGCAAGCAAGAAGAAGAAGGCGCGCCGGAAGAAGCGGCCGCTGAAAGGAGCTTCATGCGAGTCGATGCCCAGGTCCAGGCCAACCTGGCACTCCTGCCGCCCAAGGAGCGAGTCCGGGCTGTGGAGGCGGCCTTGGAGGGACACTTGGACGAGGCCGAGGAGCCTGAGGAGGAGGAGCCTGTGGAAGAGCTTGAAGTTGCTTTGGGGGCGCAGTCCCGTGAGAAGGAGTCTCAGTCTCAGATACCTGAGGCAAAGGCTCCCAAAGTTGTCCTGCTCGGGAAGGATGCTCAGGAACTTCGTGTCGTCCAGGCCCTGGCTTTCATGCAGATGCAGGAGTGGGACAGCGCCTTCCGGGTTTGGCGGCAGAATGCGGCCTTTAGTTGCCATCACTGCCCGCCTTTTGATGAAGCTTTGGTTGTCTACGCCATGCAGGCCGCATTATGCAAAGCACAGAGTTCCAGTTTGGGTGGCGTTGACAATATTGACTACGTTCGCCTAGCCGTCGAAGCCCATTGCAGGGCTTTCGGAATTGACAACTTTGCATGGCGGTATGCAAAGGAGGTGGAGGAGTCACGGGTCAGTTCCGAAACGAAGAATCTCTTTTGGAGTGCTGCGCGAAGGGAAGCACCCAGAATCCGTCCTTTTGTAGAGGCGGTGCGAGACTGGTGTTTCAAGCCAGATGAGGTGCCACCAGCGTTCCAGAGTTTCACATCCTGACCAAGTCTTCGCGTTGCATCAGCGCACATCTTTGCTCCTATAGCGTATTTCGTTATGTTATTCACATTTCATTTTATCGTGTTGTTCAAAATATCTAATAACATTGTGCTATTTTATATTGTATTAGATCTGCAAGATTATAATATGCAAGTGCATGGAAGACCGTTTTCTAAGAGCAAGACAGACTTTCAAGCCTGACAAGCCGCAGGCAGCTTCAGGCCCAAACGTATGGAATCACTTCTCTTTCTTGTGTTTTTGTCTAGCTTCATATGCCAGCTTGTTTAGCAGCAGTTTTTGCACGAACTCGGCCCTTCCTTTCTCTGTTGCTATCAAGACCGGGTCAATATAGAAGCCTGAATAATTCGTCATGTTGTTATTCAGAAAGGGTTCCTTTTTTTGATATGCTTCCTTTAAAACCCAAAAGCCTTATTCAAATAGCTGACGCCCTAGATCCTTGTCAGCTCTATCACCTAAGCCCCTATCAGACCTCGCCAACGCTGCAAGAACGGCCGGGAGTACCCCCAAGACCGGCAGCATGGCAGCCCAAGCATTCCATGCCATGGCAATGCCAGGCCGGGTGCTCAGCCACCAAGTAGATCTACGCCACGGCAGTACTTGCACTTATGGCAGTAATGAATATCGGTAGTAATGGTAGTAGTAATCATAATACTGGCAGGAGTGCAAATTTCAAGAATCATAGTAAACATTAACACATTCGTGATTCGTCGTTATAGTGTGAGTCGTACTAGTTGGCATGGCAACCATGACAGCAAGTAAGATTGTCATGTCAGGGCGAACGTTTGTGCGGTCACTAATGCCATTGCCGACACGTATGATGGGAAGAACGGCAGCACTCGGTCCAGGACGTTACTCGTGCAAGCGAAAGTGACAAGCATGTAGCTTGTATGTAGTAGCATAAGTTTAGCTTCCGTGGAAAAGGCAGGGCAGGGAGTGTAGCAGTCGACGGTGATGCCAAAGGCCACCAGCAACAGCAGCAGAAGTCGCCGTCGTACTTGTCGTCGCGTCACTTGTAGTCTCCAACAGGACACCCGCAACCTGCAAGGGGCAAGCAGAGCGGCATCGGCCATCGGGTGCCACCACCATCACCACCACCAGGCAACAACAACCCCAACAACCTCCAGCAGCAGCAACAGCCGCCGCAACAACAAGACTGACAAAGGCTACTACTGCTGCTGCTGCTGCTACTAGTAGCAGTAGCAGTAGCAGTAGCAGTAGCAGTAGCAGTAGCAGTAGCAGTAGCAGTAGCAGTAGCAGTAGCAGCAGCAGTACTGTGGCAGCAGCAGGAGGAGTAGTAGTAGTAGTAGACGTAGTAGTTGTAGTCGTAGTAGTACAGGCACTAGATTAACACTAATAGTTTACTATAATGACACTATGATATTATGTTCTACTTATACTATAGTAATGCTGCTATTTTTTGATACTACTATAATAATACGACTACAAGAACATACTATTTTCTTCCTGGGAGGCCAGCGGCTCCGGCTTTCAGTTGCCTTCGGAGCTTCTGACACCTTCCCGGCGTTGTTGCAGGAGATGAGCGGTACCATACTATGTGTGTATATATACATACATATATATATATATGTATGTATATATATATATATATTTGTTTATTGATTTATCTCGAATTCGTCATTGTGAAACTTTCATCTTCCTGATATAAGTTTCAAGCTCTGCTGCGTGATCGAAATTTAGTCTATTCAATCGTTTCCTTTGGGTCAGTTCGTGGTCAATGAGTAGTGGCTTCGGCTTTACCCACACATTATCCAGCATGAAGAATGTCGAACTGTAACTGGTTACACATTTTCTCTGAACCCTAGGGGAATCCTTGAAATGCTTGGCATTGTTGTCTTGCGTCTCTGTTAGCTAGTCACGCTTTCTTCATAATGCTCATGTTCTTTGGTTTGTAGTTCCATGTTCTTTTTTGCCCACTCAGAAGCAGATTGCTTGGGTCAGTCGTCTTGAAGTCTTGTCTGCTGTACGTGAGGGTGAGAGTCGAACTGACTCTAAACCTTTTCTAAATCCCCCTGAACCGACCATTCAACAAGCATTTGGGGGTTGCCGTGGCTGTCCTTCAAACAGCAGCCAGAGAGCTTGTTTCAAAGCCAGTGCCAGCATGCTGTGGAGAAGACACTGGCAATGGAACGAGAGCTCCGGTTCCAGTCAGGGACGGGCTCCCAACCATAAAAGGGGCAGTGGTACCATACTCTTAATAATAAACTAATATATATATATATATATCATATATATATATATAGATAGATATATACACATGTATATATATATATATATGTATATATGTATAATTACTACACGCATATGCATGCACCGGCTCAGGAGCTCAACGGCCAGTCGAAGGTCCTTCGAAGCATCGATGACCGGCTGACAACGACCCAGGCCCGACACACTGCCGGTAAGTCGGGCCCGTTCAATAAATAATGCATGGAGGTGTGAGATGCATCGAATGTGGGAGTTTCCGAAAATAAGGGGTACCTTGATTTGGGATCCTTATAATAAGGATCTTAGTATTTAGGGTACTATACTGGGGTCCCCCATTTTCTGAAACTCCCAGATGCATCGAATGTGATGGGGGTCAGAGGGATCGGGCATTCGAGCCGGGCCGGGGCACTGTTCCAAAGCCCTCGGGAAGGCATCATGCACTCTTCTTGCAGCTCATAGGGATGGCAGTGCGCTGCGTGAGT